GGATAACACCTTGGCGTTTGAAGCGATGAGTATGCAGTTCGAGTCTCAATGGGGACGACATCAATACCCACTGGGGTGCAGGTAAATCCAGCTGACGAGTTTCAAACAGGACGGAACGCGTGTCCTGGATTCCTCTGCTAGCCACAACCAAGTAAATTGCTGTATGATTTATTCTATTTGTAATGTTCAGAGTACAACTTCAGTTGGGACTAACACAATTAACGAATGAAACGGACTGAATATATTTCCTGCAAAAAATCACTCATATAGGCCAGAAACATGTTAGCCAATAGAATTCCAGGTAATTTGGTTATTTCTTTCACCAGCGAGTTTATTCATTTGATAAAGTCTATATAATTATGATTCAGTCCCAAAAATGGTACTTAGTTGAAACCGATTACTTTAAATTCACGGAAACTTCAAAAGGAGAGGGGTGGTGGTGGTGGAAGAACTCTCTCCTGATAAACACAGAAGGATATTCTTGATCAATATGATCTCTAAGTTTTTAAGATCCATACTCATTCTAAATGTAACTAGATCTTGGAAATATTAGACTCATCTACTCATCTACCTGAAACCGATTACTTAAATTCACGGAAACTTCAAAGGAGAGGGGTGTGGTGGAAGAACTCTCTCTGATAACACAGAAGGATATTCTTGATCAATATGATCTCTAAGTTTTTAAGATCCATACTCATTCAATGTAACTAGATCTTGGAAATATTGACTCATCTACTCATCTACCGGAACTTTGAATTCTGTCACAATTGTCGGCACTCAGTATTGATTGTAATGTGTAATCTGAAGTCGATGTTTGAGTCCAACAGTTGAATTGTCTTGCGGTTTCTAAATCAATAAGTTAACTCACTATAGCTTACTATCAGTTCACGATTACTGAATCATGTAACAGACTTAGTCACCAGTAAGGGTACTGATGTAGAGATTACTTCCTTAGTATTAAGGATTCAATGGAATCTGCTGTTCAAGGTTGTAATGTAAGCATTGAGGTGAAAATATATTAACTGAAATGAGTGACTCTAAGGACCAGTCTAACATCCAATCAAATAATAACCAATCATAATTCTGCATTTTATGAAAAACTAATTTACTTGATGAAGTAGAATAACTTGATTGGTCATTTCAGTCGTTGCTAGGCTGATCTTGAAAATTAGTCTATGATAGAGTAAATCGTATATGACCTTTGAATGGCTAAATGATAACTTTTATTTCAAGATAAAACTGAAGACTACATTTATGAACACTGTTAGATTTATTCTGAGGTTAATGGGGATTTAAATTTTGGGGTAGTATTCATCAAGGAATGACATCAGTTGGAGTACCATTCAAAACAGCTGTTTCATCCTAGTATAGTACTTCTCAGTATTGTGCACCCAGGACTTATGGGTTTCACAGTGAAATTGTTAACCATTCAGCCACTGGGCCACAGTTAAACGGTTCACACAGTTTCCAATTTCTGACACGATCCCCAGTTTGGTCGTGGGTGCGTACTGCTGAGGAGTCCCGTACTAAAACGAAAAAGTTATCCAATGCTTCCAGGTTTCCAGAGGTTCTCCAAGTAGTGTAAATCCATTACGAATACTATCTAAATATATAAATTGGCCTGATGTGGGCTGATTCATCGTTCATTTTGATTCGATAACAAGTGGCACAAGTAGTGAAAGAAGGAAATGACACTCAGAAGGAATGATTGGCTGTGGACCGAGTGTATTTCCAATTAAAGGTGAATGAAATAATTTCCACATCATTCATCCTTATGAATGGGACTGTATTGTTTTGAAAAGCAGTTTTTTGTTGATTTGAAGGGTGATAAGGATTGATCGAACCACTGAGAACCTGGCAGCATTAGACAGTTGTTTCTTTTTAACATAGGACTGTACAACAGTGTAGACCGACACCCTCGGCAGGAATCCGGCCAGGTATCGTAGTAAGGACGTCATTATCCAGCCACTGGATCAGAATCTAATGGCCTACATTTTTCTACTTCTGTCAACTTGTGATATAGCCTGACCAGTATCTAATTCACCTCCAACTTGGTTTACCTTACAGGTCAGGCGTTCACATGATGATTTCAGGAAATCCATACATACTGGAACATATCACTAATGAACGGTAGACAGTTTTCAATTTCCTTCTAACTGATGTTAGTCCTTGAGGAAGACAGGGTTCATTGATTAGAAAAATAGCTGACGCCTAGTCAAAGCTACCAATGAATTCTAAAAGAATCTACTAATTGCTGAAAATATTCATAGAAGTTCCAAGAAAATTCTTTATCATTCATGTATGTATCCGATTGGATCACTTCTTATCAAGTAAGTTAAGAGAGAAAACGTTTTCTAGAGAAGTCATTGTTACATATGAATATGTGAAGGAATCAACAGAACACTATTCTTAATCGAAATTGTCTTTGAAATTTCGTGGAATTGTGTAACTACTGTTGAAAAATTTGAAGAAGACTTTCATCGTCTTTCTAAACGACATCATCATTACTAACTTCACTATGAAGTGAGGTGTCAATATCTCTATGTGAGTAATTCAATAACTTGCTCTGACGAACTGATTCGTGATTGGTTGTTGCGTCATTGGCTGCAAGGTAAGCTACTAAATCATTCATGCAGAGATATTTACAGTTCACTTTCTAGTGGAGTTAGTGTGTTCATCATATCGTGTAGAAAGACGATGAAAGCTCCATGATTAAACAATCCAGCTCAAGGAACACAATATAACCAAGACTATCGATCTGAGCTACAAAATATCCTCCATCATTTCAATTTGAAGTAGAATTGTACAGGTGTTCAATGTTAGACGTCATTTAAGTTCTGGCTTGATATGATCACCACTAGTTATCACCATGACTTCCATACTTCAGATTATTTTGATATTCATAGTGTACATTTGATTCAGTTATCGTGTGACCAAAGGGATGAACAGAATGCTTTGATATGGATGTCTTCAGAGCTTCTACCAAATCAGTCAATCAGTCAATATCAACATAGGACCAGGCATTACTGGGTAACGATCCGAGTTGCCACACCTCATATCACTACATCAAGTAGAAAGGTAGTGAGGTGAAGAATGAAGATAAGTGAATGCAGTCAAAAGAAATATAAAGTACGAGAAGAAAGGAGAGAGGAATGACAAAATGGTGAGACTCGGTATAGTGTAGTTAAGATGAGCATAATGTGTGTGGGGATACATCTGCCCCACTGACATCGGTTCTGAGCCATATCCCCTATAGTCCCCAACCACTGGTTCCTCTTGTCCAGCGGACCCCAACCACCTAGTCTGCATTGTCCTACTAGGCTCAAACCAACAGTCAGACACTTCATACATTGGTGCCATGTTTTAGTCCGGCCAACTTGAACCTTTTTCCAGCCTAGACCTACTTCGACCAACATTGTGTGACTAGGCAATCGGTGACTGGGCATACGTAGTACGTGTCCCAACCAGCTATCTCAGTTGATGAAGGTTCATAACCTCGTCAACTGACTTACCTCTTCTCCCTAAAACTGTATACCTGACTTCTGCATTACTCACTTGGTGACACTACGGAATACGTCCTATACTGCGAAGACAACGTTGGTCAAACACTTGAAGCCTTCTTATATCTTCCACTTTCAATGGCCATGTTTCACAGCCATACAGTAGAACAGAGCGGACTGCTGTGCGGTACACCCGCCCCTTAATAGACAAACAAATATCACGGCTGGGCCATAGGTGGCGTAAGTTGGCGAAAGCCAATGAGTCTTTTGTATCCGTGCAAAGATTTCATCGGCAACTGACCACACCGGGTTGATCCTACTTCCAAGGTAAGTGAAGTGGTCAACACACTCAACCACTTCACTCTCTATTGTTAGCCGCAGCACCGGTGAAGACTAGTCCTGGAGCAAAAATCTGCATTTGGGCGATGAAAACCGCATCCCAAGCATTCTCAAATTCCCACTCAAAGTGTTCAGAAGACTCTTCTTCTTCACCTAACAGGACTATGCCATCTGCATATTCTAGGTCTAACGAAAATTCTCCTGTAATTGTGGTTTTGATAGATTCTCAACTAGCAGTGCTAACAATGATGCTTCAGAGAGTAACTGTAACAGAATATGATCTTAATGCGTATTTTCAACTTGTAGGAAGACATCAACTTCTTGAAGCTAGTAGTGTAGCGGGTACTGCTGGTAAGAATGGATATAAGTAGTATATGTTGAGAGGGTAGCAGAAGTCATAGACAATTACCAGCAATGGGTAAAGATTCTGTCCAGAGGAATGCAAGAGACAATGAAGGACATTATACAAATGATTGTCTTAGTGGAAAGTGGACAATATTTGGTGACTACTGTATAAGATGTCGATAATAAACACTCCTTCCTGCTTCTAAATGTTATCGTTTGGTACAGTAGTATCATTTAGAAACTCCATTATATGAGAGGCATTACAAATAAGTATACTTTACTCATTCTTTAAATAAGTATTCGAGTTATATGATTTAAATCCTATATGATTCTTTACATAACTCCTAACTGTATCAGGATTATTCATCAGTTTGGTGAGGTGGAGAGGTGTAACAAGATACAACTGAAACCTTTATGGGGATTTTTATTATTAAGGTAGTATTCATCACCGATTGATATCATTTGGAGAACCATTGAAAACCTGGGAGCATTGGACAGCTATTTCGTTCTATTATAAGGTTCCTCAGAATTACACACCCATGACTCTACAATTCAGGCATCGAACTCAGGCCTTACCCAATCAGTTACTGGATCTGAATTCAAGCGTCAATGATGATGAATACTACCTCCTGTATTTTTAAAAACTGTACAAGCTTTATGTAATAACAGATATCTTAAGATAATTTTCAAGCTTTCATCAATCTTATCCCCCGAAATGATTATCAATCCATAGCAATGCTTATCTACAACCCATGAATATCCTATATCTTTTCAAAACTTTGAAATTCCATCTTTCAACACAACTATATATTCAAG